GTTGCCTGAGAAGCGCTGTAAGTTCATCTGAGGCGTCGGCTTCGATTGCTTCTGTCTCGAGCTCGCTAGTTGTCGAGCTTGCCTCATGGTTGGCTTCACGTTGGACAGAAAAGGACTACAAATCGGCATCCTGATCAAACAGGCATGACTGCGAAAGTCTTTTGGGACACCGCCTCGAAGATACGGGTGCATAAACAAGCAGGCATGACTATGGGATCACTTGTGAAGTCGCGTTCGAGGCGGTCGGTCGCGGCCGTGTGTTGCACACGCAACCACTGCCGGCTCGCCGACATGCTTTCGTCACAGTCGCGAACTGCAGCCTGAACAACAGGTTGCTGCTGAAAAAATCTTGGACACCCTGTATGTGTCATGTCTCTCACTCGAACCAACCTCCCGTGCTGCTGGCTGAAGTCGTTGTTCCTGTGGGAGCGGCCGGATTGTGCACGCGAGCCTTCATCGCTGTCACAAAGTCCTCGGCTCGCATGGGTTTCTCCGAAACCGCGGCGCGAGCCACAAGTTCAGCGACATGTCCCGTGTAGAACGTGTTCTTCGCGGAGGTCAGGAACATGAAACTGCGGAAGGGGCTTTGCTCCTTGGATAGCCAGGCGTGGAAACGCCGAGCTGCGTTGGCGACCTCGTCCTCCGTCGGGTCGGGCTTGGCTTCGGCAGTCTTCTGGCGTTTGGCTTGTCGGAAGCTTCCCGTATCTCGTTCCGTTTGACTGCCTTTGCCCAGATTGGGGGTCTGGAGAATCGGTTCCAGGTCCGTCACCTCGGCTTCGATCTTGCGGTACAAGTCCGGGTTCAGGAGCTGCTTCATGTGATCCGTCTTGAAGTGTGTCACTGCCGCCATGAGGGCCGCCACAGTTAGGCTGATCCCAGCACCGATGTGCCACTGGTCACATGGAGCCCTAAACCCTAAACCCTAAACAATGCTATGATTACATTCTCTGCAATCAGGCGTTCCAACGCCTATCCTATGGACCCTGACCCTTCCTTCTGGGAGCCAAGCTTTGGGTTCAGGGTCTAAGAGCACATGTGGGTCACAACAACATGCTACAATGCCAGAAACCTGCAGGAAGGTAGACTTGAACTGAAGCTAAAGCTACAAGTATGATAGTGAAGCAACTACTCATGCTGATCGTCGCTTCTGTAGGAAGCATGAACAGTCAGACTCTTAGCAGGAAGATCTTCTTCTAAATCCGACAACTGTAGGCACTCGCTTCGGAGCCGGCTAGTGACTATTGATGCTATA